ACACCACACCACACCACACCACACCACACCACACCACACCACACCACGCCACGCCACACCACACCATGCAGGTCAGCGTGAGCCATAGTTACCATCAATTTGTACTTCCCGGAGGCCTGTGGGTGGTAACTGGAATTGATGCTTAGGCAGGGTCAGGCACCAATGCCCACTTCAGTCTTTGATGACTACCTGCCCCTGCCCCATATCCCTCCCTGAACCCAAGAGCAGCTGGCACCCATCTCTTTCTGGATTGGTGCCTAGAGACCACAAGGGTCCCATTGGTCAGGCTTGTCCTTTTTTGTCCTCACAGCAATTATTAGAAGCCCTAGCTCTCCCGACAGTGGTACCTGGGAAACCCCTAGAGATACTTCTGGAGATACTTCCTGGTTTGGAGAAGAGTTCTTTCCCTTTTTGCATTGGCCTGTGGGAAGCTCAGAGCTTTCTGAGTCACATTCACAGAAGGTCTCTCATCACTATGTGGATCTCCTCACAGGACCAATTTCCACATTTAGGTGGCTGATGACACCAAGGCCTCTGTGCTAAACTATCCTTGGTCGCATAGGTAAGATGCAGAGTGAGCCATTGCTCCCTCAGGAATGGACATAAAGTGTGTATCCAGGGTCTATCAGGAACATGCTTACCTTCAGGGCATCTAAGATCCTGCCATCATAGTCGATTACCACCGTGTCACCTTGTTCTCCCTTGAGCCCTGGGGGACCCTGAGGCAGGAGAAGAAGAGCTGCATCACAGGTGAAATGGCAGCTATCTCTGCTACATCAAGAGACCTGAATCTGTCACACAGGTCACAGGCATGCTTGTGCCCCAGGGTCATCACAGCAGGCTGTTCCTTAAGGGTCAGCTCCCCGTCACACACAGGCCATGTGAGGAGGTGGCAGGGAGCCCGCTGAAGAACACACCCCTTGCCTGAGGGGCTGCCTGTGGTTTGCCTTCATGTGGATGTTTAAAGCCAAAGAGGCTCTGTTTTCAGGGAATACGGAAAACCTATTTGTTTTTCTTTCTGTTTTGTGAGACATGGTCTCACCGTGTAGCCCTGTCTGTTTTGGAACTTGCTGTGTAGAATGGACTGGCCTCCAAGTCAGAGATCCACCTGCCTCTGCCTCCCAAGTGCTGGGACTAAAAGCATGCCGCCACCACCTCCCAGCAGTTCTTGAGACTCATAAGTGTATCCAAATAAAATAACCCCTGCTCGCTCCCATTCCTGACAAACACTGTGGTGACCAAGGAAGGCTGCTTCTACCTTATTTATTGCGTCAGGGTCTCTCAGTTAAATCCAGGGCTCAGCAAGATGGCTAGTCTCACGGGCCAGCTTAATCTGGGGGGCCTGCCATCTCTCCTTTCCATAGAATTACTTGTTGACTCTCCCATACCCACCCACTTGGTTATCACGCTTGCTTGGTAAGAGCTTTAGCTGAGCCATTTCTCCAGCTCGGTATGCGATGGCCTGGAAAAACAGAGCCAAGGATGGGATAGGGCAGCTCTGGAGGGAATGTAGGGACGTGAAAAGGGAGAGAGCCTGTTACTCTTCCTGGCGTCCATTCTGATCGCTTGCTGGCTGACACCTGGGAGTTTTCACTATGGCCGATCAGATCATCTGCAAAAGGGCTATACTCTGTTTGGGAAACATCACAGGCTAGATTGCCAAAAATTGCGAATGAACCTGTGCCTCAAGTCTAACCTCCTCGTGGCAGATGTATAAATGGTGCTTTGATCAATGTTTTATGTCTCCTAACTCCCTTCACCAGCTGTCAGCCTTCAGTGCACAAAAAGAGAAGGTCCCTTCAAGGACAGAATTTTGTGGATAAGGAAACAAAATATTCAAGCACGTGGTTTTCCTGATGTCTAAGCTTTAAGTAGCTTTAAGACCTCAGTCAGATCACAAATATAGCTGAACCACTTGGGTGCACTCTTTTTTTTTTTTTTTTTTTTTTGTAGCCTTGGCTGTCCTGGACTCACTTTGTAGACCAGGCTAGCCTCAAACTCACAAGGATCCACCCGCCTCTGCCTCCCCAAGTGCTGGGATTACAGGCGTGCGCCCTCGTATCTGGGTCATTTGACCCTCTTCAAGGATACATCTTTCTGCTTCAGAAATGAACTCACTAACTTTGCTTTGCTCTTGGGGCTGGAGAGATGGCTCAGTGGTTAAGAGTGTACACTGCGTTTGCAGAAGACACAAGTTCAGTTCCCATCATTCACATGGGACAGCGGACAACTCTCTGTAACTCCAGGTCCAGGGGATCTGATGCCCTCTTCTGGCCTCAGCAGTCACTGCACTGACGTGCACATACCCTCACACGGATATATATATATATATATATATATATATATATATATATATATATATATATATATAT